TAATAATAATAATAATAATAATAATAATAATAATAATAATAATAATAATAATAATAATAATAATAATAATATCTCTGATGATGATGATGATGATGATGATGATGATGATGATGATGATGATGATGTAATGTTTTTTCCTGAAATCAAGTTCCTGGCCTGAAGAATATCTGCAGAAGTTTTTAGTGGTGGACATCAGTGAATCCAATATCTGGCAATAGCACAGATGGCAAGTAATCATCTGGGCAATGCAATAGACTTCTGTAAAGCCTTTGATTCAGTGGTACATGACAATCTACTCCTAAAACTAAAATCTTACGGTATCTCTGGACACCTGGATAACTGGATAGAAGCATTCCTGTCAAACAGACAATAAATGGTCAAAATTGGGAGCGTCCTATCAAATTCTGTACCTGTCAACAGTGGTGTCCCCCAAGGCAGTGTTCTAGGACCAACTCTTTTCATACTCTACATAAATGACCTCTGTGATCATATCAAGAGCAACTGCATTTTCTTCGCTGATGATGTAAAGCTGTTCAATACCACAGACAATACTGCTACCCTTCAAAAAGACCTTGACTATGTATCAGAATGGTCAAACAAATGGCAACTTCAAATCTCAACAAATAAATGCTCTGTCTTACATATTGGCAAAAAAAATCAGAAAATAAAATACAGGCTGAATAGTCAAGACCTTGTTGATGATCCAAACTCTGAAAAGGATCTTGGAGTACTTATGTACTCAATGATCTAAGTGCTAGAGCCCACTGTAACTACATAGCCAAAAAGGCGTTAAGAGTTGTCATATTACACTACTAACTAGAGCATACAAAACATTTGCTAGACCAATACTCGAATACAGCTCATCAGTCTGGAACCCACATTACGTATCTGATATTAACACAGTTGAGAAATATTTCACAAGAAGAGTTCTCCACTCCTCTACTCGTTTCAGAATACCTTATGCCACCAGACTAGAAATTCTAGAACTAGAAAACCTAGAACTACACTGCCTTCGGTCCGATCTTAGTATAGTATATAAAATCATACATTCCAATGTCCTACCTGTCAATGAATACTTCACCTTCAACCATAACAACCAAGAGCAAACAATAGATACAAACTCAAGGTTAATTTCACCAAACTTGATTGCAGGAAATACGACTTCAGCAACAGAATGGTCAATGTCTGGAATACTCTACCAGACTCTGTGGTTTCTTCCCCAAACCCCAAAAACTTTAACTTTAGACTGTTTACTATTGACCTCACCCCTTTTCTATAGGGGGTGTGCATAAGAGCAGCAACGTGCCTACTGTCCCTGTCCTATTGTTTCTTTTATATTTTTTTATTTTTCTTATATGTATCCATGTATTCATAACTATGTTTTTACTTATACCTATTATTTTGTAAGCAATTGACAAAAATAAATAAATAAATAAATAAATAAATAAATAAATAAATAAATAAATAAATAAGTAAGTAAGTAAGTAAGTAAGTAAAAATATCTGTATAGTACCTTGGTACTCAACTACTTTGAAACTCATCAAATTTTATATTCAACAAATTTTAATGCAACACTTATACAATTAAGTACAGTTAAGTATTGTCTGATCTTAAAGCAGTTTTCGAAAACTTGGTACGTTACTTTTCAATTTAAAAAGTCAAATATCTATATGGACTATAATTGAGCATGAAGCATCTATTCCATCATTGAGTTGTGGCATTTTCCAAAATTTAACAAAATGCGATAGGAAAAGAAGGAATCATACAAATTAACTGGGCTTTTTGTTCTTGACTTCTTACTCAATGACCAAGAAAACAGTTTTTTTGAATACATATAGCAATCCAGGCTTAGAAGTGAATTCCTTGCCTTTTGAAATCATAATCAATATGTCAGTGTCTATGAGAATTCATATTGATTCCTTTCACTTGAAATATTCAGAGGAAAAAAAATAAATCTGATGAACTTTTTTCCTATGTCAGTTCTGCCCACACCCTATCCTTTTTCTGCAGGTGTTTCAAAAAGATAAATATTGAGAATAATTTGAAAAAGCATTTATTGGAGAAAAATAACTGCCCTTAGACAAATCTGTAGGAAGATATACACCGTGGTTAATTCTCCCTTTGCTTGATGTTTACTCATAATGGAAGGGTGTTTGTTTCTGACCCCTATCCTTCTTAGAGAAATCTCTTATGAGAATAATTAGGACTGCAGAAAAAACAATTACTACCAGCCTGCCTTCCATTGAGGACCTGTATATTGCATGAGTCAAAAAGAGGGCTGTGAAAATATTTACAGA